CCTCGGCGGCAGCGGGGCTGGAAAGCTGCTGGGGACGGCCGGAGGGACCAAGTTGCGGTGGGGCCTTTGGGGCGCCCCGGGGAAGGCAGGGCGAGGTGGCAGCGCTGCTGTGGGGGCTGGAGGAGTCCCTGAAGTGTCGTGGTTGTTACCCCTTAAAGACTACTTTTGCCTCTTAAAACGCCCAACATCACCCATGCCGGGGGCAGCAGCACCAGGTCAGGCACTTCCAGAGGTCCGAGTGGCGTTGAGCTGGGGTGCATGGCTGGATCCAGCTGAGGTCCCCTCCCTGACCGTGGGCCCAACGGGGTGGGAAGCTGCTCACCTCCGATGACCCCCCGTCTCGGTGCGTGAGCCCTGATGAGTAACTGCCTCCTCTCTTGACTTTCTCCGCCATGCAGCGTGTTTTGGGACCTTTACTGCGCAGCTCCCGAAAGGCGAGACACTTGTGAACATTCGAGTGAAGCGAAAGCCTTTCATGACTACGTGAGTAACAAGTTTCTAATCCTCGCGGTAATTACAGCGTTGGGGAGCTCGGGCTTCTCCGGCACACCAAGAGCCAACGTAACCGACTGGCAAAAGCATGTTTTTTTTTTTTAACCAACAATGTTCTGATTTGACTGAACAGTATTTCATAATGTTGCAATTATGTAAATTAGCTCAGATACTTATCTTAAGCACTTAAAGGCATTCAGGCTACTGGTAGAATTAAGCGGTTTTGCATAGCAATGGACAAAAAAGCGTTTACTAGAGGATCGATGGTGAGATATTTCATGCTGAGGACATCTCGAAGGGTGGGCAGGGGTTGGATTGCGGTGGGGAGGAGGGGGGGATTCCCCAAAATGCCGTTGCATGCCCCAATCGATATCTCCCTGCCTTTGGCAAGGCTGCGCGCTTCCTTGGTTGTCCGAGTCCTCCCTTGAGACCAGCCAGGCGAAGGTGTTTGCTTGTTGAAGCTGGTGTTGCAGACCCCCTTTGGTTGATGGTGTGCATCTCGTGTATCAGTATTTTGGGTTGTTCTCCACAAAGGTGTTAGTGTGACCCAGGGATGATGCTCCTGGGGTGGGATGCCGGAGCTGAGGTGCCTCCCAAAATGACACCTCTTGGCAAGGGTGCGCGGTGTGTCGGCTCCGGTGGGCGATGGGTAGGCTGCCTGCTGCTGTCCCGTGCGCGTCGCCCGCATCCGCAGCGTCGGGAGGAATTTGCATCAAAGGATTAGTCACCTGGCTGCGGGCTTGGACCCCAGTCAAGTGAGTTTAAATCCTGTAGCAGGAGCTGGTTTTGTCTGCTCTAGGGAGCCTATGGTATGGAAACCATTTTTCCTGCCTTCCCGAGTTCCTCATTGCCTCGACATGCCTGGGTTGGGATGCACGAGGGTTTGCAGGCGAGCAGCCCTGGGTGAGCGTCTTGGGGACCTCCGCAGCACTCCTGCATGCCGGCGCTGGATGCAGCGGTCGCCCTGGGGCACGGGCAGCGCTGGGCTGCTGGAGAGCCTCAGCTGGCTGCTGAGCTGCCTCTCCTCTCTGCCCAGGGTGGAAAGATGCCTGTCCCGCTGCGGCATGGGGAAGTGGGTCTGCGTATTTCCTAGGTGGCGTTTGTCCATCTGTCTGTCCCTCCCCGTGGCCACTCTCTGCATCGCTTGTTTTTACTGGGTCAGATTAAGATGGTGAACTCCTGAACTGAGGGTCAGAGCTGACAACCGGCAGCACATCCACCAGTGCTCGGCTTGGTGTGAGCAGCTGCTCGCTTCCTGGGTGTTTTGGGCCAAATTCTGATTTTTTTTTTTTTGGAGCCCAGTTGGGACGGCATACTCATCAGGAGCAAGGCAAAGGTAGATCTTCAGGCAGCAAAGCCTCACGTGAAGATGACATTAGCAACCAAGACATGGTAGTGCTCCATTCACAGCAGTCTCCTCATCGTGTCTGAGGATTTAGTGTATTTAGAGAAATTAATCTTTTTTTAGCTTGGTAATAATTCTAACAATAGGCCTGAGTGCATTAGATGATTCGCATAAACTTCTTTAATACACATTGCTTTAAGCTTACAGTAAATAGACACAATCCTGATTGTTTTTAATTCTCGGTGTAATGCAGTTTTGTAACAGCCCCAAGTGCTTTACCTTTTGGGTTTTACTGCAAAGACTCGTAAGAAGATTTTCACTCCCCTGTGCCTTGGCTTGGTGGCACTGGTTTGGTTTCCCCGGGTGTGTTTTGGCCTCAAAACAGGGGTTGTGCTTCTCCCCAGTGTGGCCGGTGGTGGATGCTCACGGTACAGCCGCTCTCTGAGGAGTGGTGTTTTCCCAGCATGGCGTGTACTTTACAGGGCGAGGGACCTACCTGGCCAAAACTTAAATATTGACCGAAGAACCGAATGATAACTGGTAGAGTGTGAATAGCGCCTTGTTTCTCACCAGCCTCCATGCCGGGGTGGGCTGCCAGTGCCAGTGAGCGCGGCAGCTGACCTCGCCGATGGGTGCCGGAGCCAAAATGCAGGTTTTTATCAAGCACCAAACCCCACAACCCGTCAGCCGGTGCATGGCAGCGAAAACAGGGTATGAGCCCTGAATGGGGCTGGACCAGTGAGTCGTGAGTCATGAATCACTTCATATGGTGGTTGTGGTTAAAAAATATTCCAATATAAGCCTTGGCCCAGACTGGTAGAGCATCATATTTACACTTGGCCAATGATGGGCAACCTCTGCACAGCCAGCTCGGTGTTTGCCCAAAATACAGTGTTTATTTACCCAAAGACGATGTATTTACCGTGCTGCTCTAAGGACAAAACAGGGGGATGCTCTGGGAGCAGCACAGTGGTGCCGGGCCAGCCGGGGTTTGGCACGCTGCCCTCCCGTAGCTGGCGCCGGAGGGGTGCTCACCCAGGAGATGCGTCTTCGGGAGGGGGAGCGGTGTGCCTCGTTAGCAGCATGCTAACAGTGGGGTTTGCATGCTGCGTCATTTCCACTTCATTTCCCAGTGTAACTGTATGAAAACTATTAGGAGCAGCAGCACAAATCACCAATTTCCCCCTCCAGTTTTTAATATTGAACTCTTTAGTGAGGGGGGAAAAAAAAAAAGAGAAATACCACCCCTCTTTTTTGGGGGGCACCCTTGAAGCCCGTGGCCTGTTGCCACGGCTGAGGAATATTGTTTTTTACCTTTCCCCCAAGGGACAAAAGGCTGCTGGGGCTCAGTAGAAATGTGCTTGTTGGGAGAGAGGTGATGGGCGTGGGGATTCACCTGGTGCAGGCGGGAGGAACACCGCACTTCTCTTTCCTTCTGTCTCCAGCACGGCTGTGAGTCTGTTAACGCAACTAACGAATTGTGCTGGTCGGAGGGTTATTAGTCAGCCTCTTCCACCTGTATCAAAAGAGTTTATCCAAGTTAACAGCATCACGAGCACGCATCAACTCCTAAAACTCAACCCGTAGCTGCTGGGTTGGGCTCCTCTGCCGGGCAAAGCCCTGTGGTGAGTGCGCCGGCGTTACGGCGCGCTCCCGGAGCCAGCAAGCTTGCAATGGGATCGCTCGGCATGACAGGGGATTTCAGCCACCACGTTATCTGGGAATTGGCCGATGGCTGGTCGCAGTTGAGCATTTCAACGCTGTGAAAGCCAATACAATTTGAGTTAGCGGTGATGACTGCCAGTTTAAATACCGCAGTGAATTTCTGTCAAAGAGCTAATACATAGAAAGGGGAATTGCAGAAAACTTGATCACCAGAACCACTTCAGTCGATTTTGGCCTCGAGCTACAGAAAATGAACTTAAATCTAGTTGACTGTTGCTACATACTTTTTGTGGTATTGCTCTGCCTGCACGGCCAGCTCGGAGCGTCAACGTGCAGGAGAGAAAAATCAGGGTAGCCTTTGGCTACCGGAGATTTTTACTTCATCCTTCCCCTCTTCTGCTCCCCTCAGCTCCTCCCCCAAGAAGGACCCACACTTGGGAGCATTTGAAATGATGTTTTCTTTGCTCTACAGAGCAGTGGCTTCAACTTGTCATTAATGCAAAGCATTGATTTTTTTTTTTTTTTTTTTTTTAAACTTTGGAAAGCTGCTGCAGTTCTTTCTAACTTCGGTCTGGAAGGATGCTCTGCTGCAGCGGGGGCGGTTGCTGCTGGAAAGGTGGCAGTTGGTCTGGGAAAGGATGGTGTGCTTGGGACTCGTGCCCTCCCATCCTGGTCAGGGACAACCAGGGCTCCTCCTTTTTCCCCACCATCTGAAACAGTTCCCCTTGGATTGAGATCTCGGTGAGGGGGTTTCTGAAGCCCCTGGAGATGGATGGACGTAGCATCCAGGCTTGCTGGCATTAGCATGCAAGACTTTGCTCAGTGAGGAATGAGGAAACCCAAGGGGCTGGAAGGGTTTTGGTCTGTTGGCAGTACAGGCTGGGGGTGTCACCCAGGCACTGGCGTGTGAACCTCAAATGCAGCTGTTTCCCCTGCTGTAAGTGCCCTCCTAGCCATGCTTTGGAGGTGAGGTGTGGGAACGGTCCTTTTCTGCTGCATCTGCCTGTTGTGCCCCAGCTGGCTGTGGGACAGGCGCCCTGTCCTGGCATCGCTGCCTCAGCATCCCCAGGCTGCAGGGGGACATCTCCTTGTTGTCACAGCATCTTCTGCTCCCCGGGGTCCGTGTGGCCACCTCATGGCATGGCACCTCAGCAGGCGAGATGGCCACATGGGACCCCTCCAAGGAGGAGATGCTCTGCATGCATGAAGGGTTTGGTGTGGCTGTCGCCTGTCCCGTGCAGAGCCGTTGTCTTGCTCCAGGACCAGCAAAGGCTGCGAGACTCTAGCTCCAAGTGCCCATGGCTGCATGGGGTGGGTGTGGGACCAGCATGCGTGATGGTGGTGGAGGTCCACAGGTGCCTCTGTGCACATGGTGATAGTGGAGGTCCATGAGAGCCCCTGCCATGTGCCCTTTGCAACCAATGTATTAGAAACATTGCATAGGAGAGCAGGCATTTTGGGGGCAGATTTGGCGCAATGCAGGGACAGGGGTTGGGAACAGCTTTGTGTGGTCCCTGGGAGCCCCATGGGCATCACCGGAGCCCTGGGCACGGGGCTCGGCCAGCGGCCTGTGCAGCTCCGTCCCATCTCTGTGCAGGACTGCGCTCCATCTGGGCTCCATCCAGCTCCACTCTGCAGGGACAGGGTTCCCCAGTAGGTAACCGGAGAGAGGAGTTTCCTTCAGGAGTGGCAGGCTGCCAGGAACAGCTGCAAAACTCCGTATCATTACAAAAAAATAAAAAATAAAAATTCCCTCTCCCAGCAGCGCGCTGGGCTCAGCCTTCCCTCCCAGTTTAGGGTACTGGTATGCCCATCCTGCCTGCAAGCCTGAGTGTCCCTTAAACCCTGCTTTTACTGGAGTGCTGTGCAAAGCTGGATTAGTTTAATTTTATATTTTAAACAATATCAGCTGTCGCAATGGAGCAACCTCCGCTGCCATACTTCCCGCTGCCCGGCAGCAGGACCAGTGTGTTTTGGAGCG